TGACAAAATTAAGGAAAACAGACAGAACCCTAAAACAATTTTGGAAGCAAATGAAAAAATAAAATGCCAAAATAAATGAAAATTCAGAAATGATACAAAATCTACAGATATAAATCCAGAAGATTAATACTAAATTTTCAAATATAGATAACACATTGAGAGGGCAAAGGAGTAGAATTGACTTAATGGAAGACAGAAGTAATGAGATAGAAGACAATACCTGAATTCTTCTTTGGAAAGGGATCAACCAGAAAAATAATCCAAACAAAATGAATAAAGCCTAAGGTTCATGTGGGATACCATCAAAAGGAATAACCTAAGTGTAATTGGAATTCCAGAACAGGAAGAGAAAAAGAAAACCACTGAGAAAATTGTCCACGAGTTTTTGGAAGAGAATGTCCCTGATATGACAACAGATGAGAACATATCCATTCAGGTAGTCCAACGAACCCCAAACAGGATAGACCCCCCAAAAAACCACCAAGACATATCATCATCAAACTTACCAAAACCAAAGACAAAGAAAGAATCCTGAAAGCAGCACAGGAAAAAATGAAAAGTTACCTACAAAGTACAACCAATAAGAATAAGCTCAGATTTCTCAGCAGAAACCATGCAAGTGAGAAGGCAATATGGTATATATAAAACCTTGAAAGATAAAAAATTTCAAACCAAGAATTATATAACCAGCAAAATTGTCCTTTAAATATGATGGTGAAATTAGGAGATTTCCAGATAAGCAGAAATTAAGGGAATCTTTTAAAACCAGACCAACCTTACAAGCTGATCTTTGACAAAGGGCTGAAATCGGTTGCATGGAGAAGAGATTGTTTAATAAATGGTGCTGGCAAAACTGGATATCCATTTGCAGAAAAATGAAAGAAGATCGGTACCTCACACCATACACAAAAAGTAACTCCAGATGGACCAAAGACTCAAATGGGTTACCTAAAACTATAAAGTTCATCAAGGAAAAAAATAGGGGAAGATTTAGGGGCCCTAATATATGGTATAAACAGACTATCAAGCATAACCCAAATTGCTCAAACAGCAGAAGATAAACTAGATGAATGGGACCTTCTGAAAACTAAATTTTGACGTGCTTCCAAAGACTTCTCCAAAAGTGTAAAAAGAGAAGGTAGAGATTGGGAAAAAAAATATTC